ATAAAAAAACAGTACAAAACTAAATATTAAAGATGTGGATATACTGTGCTTTTAAGCATACAATGTTTTTAACATCGGCTACGCTGCGCCTTGCGCTGGAATGTGTGACTTGATAAATACGCAATTTCATCAATTACCTATCAACGGCAAGCCTAGGCCAGGAGCACTACTTACGCAAGTTTTCGTTATATTCTTTTTTTAAATTTTCTTACTTAAATTCACTTACTGCTGGCATTGCCAAACAATTAAAACAATTATTTGTACCTTATGTTATTTAACAAATTCATGTTAAAAAATAAGAATAATAATCAAGGATTTTACAATATTTATACAAAATCAAACATTAATTCAGAAACAAAAACTTTTTTTTGTATGCTGATCACTTTGGTGTAAATTTGTACCATAAGCAGCTGTTACCGATGGATAGTTTTTAACACTAAATATTTACAAATTTATATTTGCCAGTAAGTTTCGTTGATTTTTGGTATACATTTACATACATACATATAAATTTCAACTTTGTACAAATGTGATTGTCATATAAAGTATGTTTGTTATACCCGAGCGCACTTGTGCACAAGGGTATTATAATTTTGTTCGCATAGCGGTTGTTTGTAACAGCCTAAAGGAATCGAGATAGATATAGAAAAATGCATACATAGATGATCAGATCAAAAGAGAAGTCGATTAAGCCATGTCTGGCTGTCCGTTCGTCACCCGTCTGTCCCTGTACACGATAACTCTAGTAAAAACTGAGATATCTCAACGAAATTTACCTTTATCCAAGGTAGGTTGCTATTGAAAATGGGCGAATGTGGAATGTGTTCTCATATAACGGCATTTTTGAAAAATGCAAAAACTACTATTTAAGTAAATATTGGAACAAAATCGTTGAAAATTAGTATGTGAAGTAGAATTTTGGTGCAAAACAATACCCCCGCCCACTTATGTTGAAATACTGTATCTCAGTAGCCGCTACACCAATCCTTACCAAAATCGGTACGAGCCTTGCTTAGCATCCAGCTAAGAAATTTTTTGAAAATCTTCGAAATCGGACAATAATTACGTCCACCTCCCATATAACGGTAATTTACTGAAACACAAAAGTTGCGATAAATCAGTAACTACTGACTCAAAATGGACTATTACAATAACCACTTAGCAGAAAATTAGATTATTATGACCACAAATGTGTATCTCGATATCCAATTTATCAATTTGTACCAAACTCGGCGCACTTAAGAACCTTGGCACACAAAAGCAACTTGTTGAAAATTATTCAAATTGGACTAAAATTACACCCTCTTCCCTTATAAAGGAAAATTTCGGATGTACGAAAACTTCGATATTTCAATAACTGAGGACGCTCATTTACTCGAAGTTAATACTTACAACAATCTATTAACAATAAATAAGACTGTTATACACTTTTAGGTAGTATAGAAAGTTGAAACGACGATATTTGATACCTGCGCCGCACATTGCGTAATTTCGACGAATTAGGGAAAGGAAAATCATAACGCCAACAATTTTGACTCCAGTTATTTTATTTTTTTTTATGTACTTCTAATAGACTGCTTCACAGGATGTATCTGATTCCATAAATATGTACAATATTTTATATGGGTATTTCCAGGGGACGGTGTTTATAGTCAAAAACTAAAAGAGTGATATATCTATGGATGATTCCTAGTTTGATATTTTATAAAAAATACTCAAAAAAGGTTTTAGATAATGATTTTTATTGAGTTGTGAAAAACGCGTGTTTTCTTGGTTTGACGTAAAAAAGAAGAGAGAGAAAACGGATGTGAGTGTGGCTTACTACTATAAAATAAAATGGTATGTAAGGGTTGCTTGCATTCAAGAATAATACGTAGTGTAAGCGTTGCCACAGTACTCCCCGCTAGACTGAGCGAACCCAATTAGACTATTTAATTGTCTTTAAATGTTACTCGCCGCCGTCTCGTCTCAGTCGATGTGATAAGACTCCTCTGTGGCGATGATAAGTCCTCATTTACAATGTACGCTAGCTTTAATCGATCCACAGAAATGTTCTTCGGCTTACCTTTTATTGAGATTTTTAAATACTTCTTGGACCTGGATAAAACCTCAAACGGTCCTTCGTAGGGTGTTGAAAACGATGGGCGCACAGAATCATTTCTGACGAAAACATTTATGCATGTGGTGAGATCAGGGTGAACGAAAATTTTCTTTGAAGAATGCCACGATGTACTGGTTGGCTGAGAAAGCCCATAGCTTTTCGGAGTTCCACTACAAAGTCCGATTGTGATCTGTTTTTAGGATTCTCTGCAAGAAATTCTGATGGTATTCGGATGGTGCTGCCATAAACCAACTCGGCAGGTGATGCACACAGATCTTGCTTGTAGACGGTCCGCAAGCCCAGAAGAATTGTCGGCAATGAGTCCGTCCAGCGTTCCGAGTCAGTGCAAAGAAGCGCACATTTCAGTGTCCGGTGCCACCTTTCCACGATACCGTTACATTGTGGGTGGTAAGGCGTTGTCGTCAAATGTTTAATGCCGAGTGACTTTGTTAATTCAGCGAAAAGTGAGGAAGTGAACTGTCTACCTTGATCTGAAGTAATTACTGTAGGCACTCCATATCTCGCAATCCAATTAGTAGTCAAAGCTTTAGCAATAGTTGGTGCGGTCATGTCTGCCATCGGTATTGCCTCGGGCCATCTCGTGTACCGATCGATAATAGTTAAGCAGTACCGAAATCCGCAGTGGAGTGGAAATGGCCCGACTACGTCAACGTTGATGTGATCAAATCGCGAGTCACACGATTCATAGCGCTGAAGTGGAGAGAACGTGTGCCGATTAGTTTTCGCCTTTTGGCACTGCAAACATGCTTTGGCGAATGCTCTACTGTCCTTTTGAATACCCGGCCAAACAAATCGACTGGTCATTAATTTGGCGGTGGTGCGTCTTCCTGGATGGCATAAGTTATGCGTCGACTGCAAAACGTCTTTGCGAAAATTCGTAGTTATAAATGGCCGAATGCTGCCCGTAGAATAATCGCAGTATATCTGCTTGGTGCTGCCTGGAACAGTAAATAATTTCAACTGAAGTGACGTACTTTTGTTGTTATTCCGCAGAAGGTGTTGAAGCTCTTCGTCGACTTGTTGATCATCGGCAAGTTTATCGTAGTCTATTACTGCTGCGTCCAGTGCTGTTACTCTTGATAGAACGTCAGCTGTTACATTACTTTTCCCATTAACATGGCGAATGTCGGTTGTAATTTGGGATATGTAGTCGAGTTGACGTGCTTGCCTGTTGGAAGCCTTTTCTGAATTCTGCTGAAAAGCATAGGTTAGCGGCTTGTGGTCAGTATAAATGTGACAGTTACGACCTTCCAACATAAACTTAAAGTGGCGAACTGCTAAATAAACTGCTTTAAGTTCTCTATCATACGTACTGTAACGTACCTGTGTTTTGTCAAATTTTTTTGAAAAATAGCCGAGAGGTTCTAACTTCCCGTCGATTACCTGGTGGAGAACTGCACCGGCTGCAGTGTTAGATGCGTCGACCCACAGGGACAATTCTGCATTTCTTGCCGGATGTGCCAGGAGGGCGGCGTTCGCAAGCTGCATCTTACACTGCTCAAATGCTGCGCTGGTAGCCTCATTCCATTTGAGCGGGGTGCGATCATTTTTTACATTGCCTGGATACATGGCAAGTAAGTGCAGTTGTGCTTCTATAGCATGCGGTATAAACCGGCGGTAGAAATTGATTGTGGCCAAAAATCGCTTGAGCTCACTGACCGTATTCGGCCTTTTACAGCGTTGGATTGCCTCCACGCGTTGTGGCAGAGGTTTGATGCCTTTTTCCGAGACGATGTGCCCAAGAAATATAATTTCGGACTTACCAAACACTGACTTGGATACATTTATTCGCAAATTGTGCTGTTGTAGTCGTTCAAAAAGCTGACGCAGATGCGACAAATGCTCGCTTGAAGACGAAGAGGCTACACAAATGTCATCCATGTATGGAAAAACGAAATCCAAGCCGCGTAGAACCTCATGAATGAGCCTCTGGAAGGTTTGAGCAGCGTTTCGTAGCCCAAAGGTCATGTACGCAAACTCAAACAGCCCGAATGGTGTTATGATAGCGGTCTTGGGTATGTCAGCAGGATTCACCGGAACCTGATGAAAGGCCTTTTGTAGGTCGACCTTCGAGAATATCTTTTTACCATTTAAGTTGCTTGTAAAGTCCTGGAGATAGGGTATGGGATACCTATCCGGGATCGTTATCGCGTTCAATGCTCTATAGTCCCCACAAGGGCGCCATGAGCCGTCCGCCTTTTTCACCATGTGGAGTGGACTAGCCCAGTTACTGCTCGACAAACGGCATATACCCAGTTTCAATAAACTGTCAAATTCCGCTCTGGCGGCTGCCAATTTATCTGGTGGAAGGCGTCGGGGCCGCGCGAAGACTGGCGGACCACGAGTTTCAATATGGTGCACCACTGCTGACTTAGCTGGACTTCCGAGTTGCGCCAGCTGCGTTAAACAAGCAAACTCTTTTAATAACGTGCTGTAGGCGCAAGAGGTGTCAAACGTTTTAATGGTCAATGCGCTGTCTTGTACAATTCTTCCTTTAGCTGTCAGCGAAGTTGAGTTGTCAATTAAACGTTTGCGCCGTAAGTCGACCAACAAATCGAAATGCGCTATAAAGTCAGCTCCTATTATACCACATGTGACATCAGCGATCAAAAAAGTCCACAAGAATTCGCGCCTGAGACCCAAGTCGACTTTGAGAAGCGCTTCACCGTAGACTTTAATAGGTGTACCGTTAGTAGCGAATAGTTTCATTATTGTTGGTTTTAAATTGCTGTTTTTTGAGCATTTTGGAATCACGGAGACGTCTGCGCCTGTATCAATCAAAAAATTGAGACTAGACAATATGTCGGAGAGTTTAAGGCGGTGTATGACTGCAGAAGCTTGCTCCGATTACTGGCGCTGTAGCTTCCGCCAAGTGGCGTCATTGGTGAGACTGCTGAGTGTTGTAGTTGCAAGGGCTTTTGCACTTGCGGGCGTTTGCGCCATAACGTTCGTGGTACCAGCATAAACCAGTTGCGGACGTGCTTTCACTGCGGTTGTTACGTTGATTCCTCGATCTGCTTTGGCTTCGACTTCTGGAGCGTCGACTTGCCAATGACTGGAATTGCTTTGTTAGCTGAGAGATTTCTTTTTGTAACGATTCCAGTGTCACTGCTTCTCTTTCACCTGGTGGGGGTGGATTTACTTGAGATGGCGATATGCTGCCTACCATGTTAACTTGGCGAAAACTTAACGAGTCGACTATAGCATCTGCAATTGTCACCTTGTCTGCAACATCGCCTTTAGACGCGATAACTGCGGCTTGAGCATACGGAGGTAAGCGCGAGGCCCATAAATCCAGTAAAACTGTTTCGCATAGGGCGTTGCCGGCCACCAATCTCATCTCATTGAAGAGTTGGCTGGGCTTGAGATCCCCTAAGGGCATGTCGGACAAGACACGTTGCACGCGTCTCTGCTGGCTATCCGCAAAATGGGAAATAAGTTTACTCTTAATATAGTCGTATCGATTTTGTGCTGGTGTGGCGTCGATAATTGCCCTTAATTCAGTTAATTTGTTTGGTGGTACCTGTGCCATAACGAGGTTGTATTTTCTACCATCATGTGAAACTCCCGTGGCCGCAAACCAGAATTCTAGGGACAAAAAATACGACTCTATGTTTGTGTCACTCATGTTCGGTGGATTTATTCGTGGTGCCATAGTTGCGTCTACGTGGAATTCGGGCAGATGTGTCCCGATTTGTTGAGTTGGTGGCGCAATTGGCAGCTGACCGGTATTTAATGTCTGCGATGGTGCTTGTTTACTAAGCTCGGAGTCATCTCCTTGGAACGGCATCTCTAGGATTCGGCAGAATTACCTTTCCAGTTCGGGGTCACCACTATGGATGATTCCTAGTTTGATATTTTATAAAAAATACTCAAAAAAGGTTTTAGATAATGATTTTTAATGAGTTGTGAAAAACGCGTGTTTTCTTGGTTTGACGTAAAAAAGAAGAGAGAGAAAACGGATGTGAGTGTGGCTTACTACTATAAAATAAAATGGTATGTAAGGGTTGCTTGCATTCAAGAATAATACGTAGTGTAAGCGTTGCCACATATCTATGTTAGTTATGGTCGAATCTTTTTGCAAAAGATTTACCCGTTAGACACATTGTAAGAAATATATTTACAAAAAAAAAAAAAATAGTCCCGCTACATGGCGCTTAGTCGAAATATTAACAGATTTTATTTGATTTCTAATATCTTTGCACATTTTTTCCAGCAGCTTCCAACTTTTGCAATAAATATATGTAGTGTTTTAAAGCGGCTATACAAGAATTGAAACAAAAAAAGAAATTTAAATTATTATTTGTGTTTCTCCTCCTTACCCCACGCCTACATCTGCTATGGACACTTGCATAGGAACTGCCAGTTTTCTCGCATACGAGATCTTATCGCAGATAAATTTTTGAACGTCGGCATTTTATCGCATACCATTTCAGTGCGAATATGTTGCTAATTTCTTAAAAATGCTGCGAAAATTTTATCTTTTTTTCTTGGTTATAATTTAACAGCACTTTTCCGAATTACACCACTTCTTTCTTCTCTGAATTAAGCCTGCACGTATTTGATGACACCTGCTTCCTTCGCTCCCACCACGAACCCAACATTCACCCATATTTGAAAAAGTTTTTTTTTTATGAAATTTGTAGCTGTCCAATTCTTCCAAAGGTTGAATTTATCATCTTATATTTACATATATTAAGAACTGCTTAAATTCCACTTTTTTTAAATTGTGCAATTTTGTACAAATTCCTACTCTTGGCCCTTGAAATACAGATTAAAGGTTCCTGAAGAGATCCGATTGATACACGCTGAAATTAAATTTTTTCCAAATTTAAAGGAGCGAAATTGACATGCAATGATAACGTTTAATATTGCAAAATGATGTTTTTATTTAAACTTACAATGTGTAAAACGGAAAGTATACCCAAGACTGTATTCTCATTAGGAAGTGAGACAAATACGACCACTGATTGATAAAGGCCGGAAAATTGGCGATTATCGTTCATCAAAACAGGCATGTTTGTACAAGCTCAGCATTCTTCCAGCTTGTCTTCAAACAATTGGGGCCGATTTTCCATTATATCAGACATCCATACGCACATAGATATATCGTATCTAAACTTTTTTTTACCAACTTCGATTTTCGATTTTCCTTCCCCTAAATCGCACAAAAAACGCACTGTACGCCGGGTATATAAAGTTCGGTTTCGCCCGAACTTTCACTTCTTTACTTGGTTTTTGTTTAATATTGTATAATTGTATGAATGTTTATGATCTTTTTTAATAAAGCTTTCCGGCTCTGATGAAGCTAAGGAAGTTGGGGAAACGTTGGGCATAAAGTGAAGTAGAAACCGAGAGTTTTCACTTACACTTGCACATGATGGATCAACCAAGCCTACAAAAAACATTAAAAACTTTTTTAAATTGTGTGTGGGCAGCATAATTTAAATAGTCTTGAATGGAATTATGTTCTTCTTAACAGTCAAAGGCAATATTCACAATACCTTCCAAATCAGCAAAAAAATTGAGTAGTCACTTTGAAGTTTTGGTACGCCATACAATTTAATTCTTATCTCCAAGATATACTAAATAATTATCTCACACTAATTGCGTTCTCCAACTTTTCTGGGTTAAAACCTGTGAAACTGTGAAAAAGCAAAAGAAGGCAGAGAACCGAGTACGGGAACGCATTCTGGGAAATTCCAGTAAATTCTTGCAACTTCTTGCGAGTTAAGGAACGCAGCTACTGCTGGTGAATGCCGGTAAAAGGAAAAAAACGATTAACACCTAAATAAAAAAATAAATAAACAAATTGGGGGGACATACCCCATTTTGATTTTTTATCCCTCCTGGTTTGTTCAACTTTCATGGCGATGCGTTGACTGAAGTTGAACGAAAAGTACAATATGAATACATATGTATACATATTTTGTAAATATGTAAATACCACTGGCAATCAAAACAGAGTGCATGGTATTTTTTTTGAATATCTACCATGTTTTTCAAGTTAATTTGATTGTTATTTATTTTATAAAAATATTTTTCATGGTTTAAACCAAACCGTATACATACATACATACATAAACCAAACTTGCAAACTTAATACAAATTTTAGAAAAATGCAACAAATTACCATACAAATTTTGAACTTTTTAATCTAAATTCTTGGATATGCAGTTACATGCCTAATGAAATTTTATAAAATGAGGGCAAATTTGAAACAGCGGCTTTTACGTATAAGAAAAGCAATTTATTAAAACGGGCGTTATTTTTTTTGGCAAACGGTCTTGCTCATTTTTTTCAAATTCATCCTTGTATGGAAAAAAGCCATCAGTAGAAAAGTATAAAAATCTACGCGATGTTTAGCCGCGTAAAACTTGCACTTATTTTACTAAAATTTAATGAGCTTCATATTCAAGAATTCACATTAAAATTCAAAAACTTTAGTGGAAATTTGATGAATTTTTCTGGAGTTTGTGTTAAGTTTGAAAGTTTGAAATAATTTTATGGTTTTGGCTAAAGCATGAAAAATATTTTTATAAAAAATAACAAAAAAATTTACTTGAAAAATATTGTAAATATTTAAAATAAAATCGCAATGCACTCAGTTTTGATCGCCAGTGTAACTTTGGTTTGTTTAAGTGATATTGAATTTTTATTAATAAACGGTTTTATTGTTGCATAAGCGAATAAATCAATTATTATTTTTTTTTGAATATATTTAGTTTTATTTTCTTTCTCAGTTGTACCCCAAGTCCCCCAATTTGTTCTTATCTGTACCCTCAAACTTGAAACTCAAGTACTACAATCAGCTCGAAAAATCCTTTAAACCCCGGTTTTTTGTGAACAACACATTTTTAATTGATTTCTGTACAATTTTAATTGTGTGACTTATGAGGTTTTTGAAATGACCGATTAAATTACATTTGAATAAAACTTGTGGTCAGTCCACTGCGCCGCTAATCTCGATCCGCGTCTATCTATGCTTTTACTGACATCCTACCTGTTGCTGGCGAGAATACATAAACACATTTGGGTAAACGGTGTGAAGGCCCTAAGCTCTTAGCCATATACCGCACTTATCACTAAAATGGAAACATTATTCTGAAAAATTGCCTTCTAAGTCTGTAGAAAAAACATTTTTTAATGCCTTGAGATTTTCTTTGACTTCTGACGTCAGGTTAGTAATAAAATAAAATTTTGTATAAGGTTCCTTAGACCTTGGTGTTTTTACAACCATATAGCTTTTAAGGGTTAAATGTCATTATATTGAGTTTACACGTATTTACAGTATATTTTTTCCATATTGGCCGCCCCTAATATCTGCAGCCCTAGGCCCGGGCCTATTGGGCCCCAGGGCAGATCCGCCACTCAATATATCGATGGTCCTCTCCAATAACGGCACAACTCAAAATTTCAGGTTTTTGAGTTATATAGCTTATTATATTTTTCTGTGGCAAATCGACATAGGCTTTGTTGTTACCAAACCGTCAGAGGCGGAGAGGAGGAGAGGAGTTTTGCCATTTGGCACAAAACCGAAGTAGCCAACCCTTACTAATGAACAGTGGCACATTATCGTCAAAAACTCTCGCTAGGTTAGTCATGCTTTTGTGTAAAATAACGAAACTTTTCGTATAGTGCCGTTGTTCATTTCATAGTTACAGTAAGACACTTTGTAATTTTTGCAATACAAATGGATTTTTTTTCGTTTAACTACTTACGAGTTGTTACTTATTTCGTATTTTTGCAATCCAGCACTTACTAAATCTTTAGAAAAAGTCATAATTTGATAGCTTACAAATTTTCCCTACAGAATGGCTGGGAATAATCCGGAATAGTTACGTTCCAAGACATATTATTGTTACATTACGAAGCACAAAATCTTTACGTGGCTCTACTGAAATATATGAAATTTTTAGTTGTGTCGTTATTGCAGAGGATCATCGATATGTATGTACATACACATACATATGATTACTAATATGTTCTTTCAGTATCTGGAAATTTGTACAGTAATAGTTTAATTGATAAAATTACGTTATTTCCATGGATTCAGATTTCTTGTTAAAGTTATTCAAATAAAATAAAGGTGTTAGCACGGCAAATTTATCACCAAAACGCAATGACACTACAACTGGTTCAAAATTAACAAAAAAAGTTGATATATTTGAAATGTTATATTAAGAAAAGTTTGGATTTGAACAACTTTTATGTGGATGTTGGGAAATTTGCATCATATTACAAATTTATGCATTTATAAGTAAAATGGGGAGTATTTATTGATCTAAATTTTATCAAAATCGGTCCGCGTTGTACTGGTTGGCGTACCAGTGGGCCAACTCGATAATTTTTAAACCCTTTTAAGCATTGTAAATGGAAAAACCAAAAATTGCACTTAACATCTCATTAGTTGCTTTTTGAAGTGAAACTTCTTACACGAGTTCGGAGATGGTTGTTTTAAACATTTAACACCAAGTCATAAAATCTTCATCGTTCGTTCGATTTTAAAAGGTGAGGTGTCAAATGAAAGGGCTTGACCTGTGGACGTGTAATCTGATTTTAGTTTTTTAAAGGGTTGCCACATATACGAAAATCAAATTCAAATTATTTATTAAAATAAATAAAGTATCTCAATATGGGTATCAAAAGAAATGGTTTTGAATAAAGATGAAGATGAAGATGATAATGAAGATGAAGACGAAGACGAAGATGAAGATGAAGATGAAGATGAAGATGAAGATGAAGATGAAGATGAAGATGAAGATGAAGATGAAGATGAAGATGAAGATG